CTAATGACAACACTTAACACTCAAACTGTGCTGTTATAAACTCCACTAAAGACAACACTTAACACTCAGAAACTGTACTGTTATAAACTCCACTAATGACAACACTTAACACTCAAACTGTACTGTTATAAACTCCACTAAAGACAACACTTAACACTCAGAAACTGTACTGTTACAAACTCCACTAATTCATGTACTAACTATGCTAGATTTAATATTATTATAACTGTTATAAACCAGTTATAATGACCAGTCTTATGCCTTTCATTTCATAATATTTATCACGAGATAGCCAAATTATATAATAATAACAATAGGAGGAGGTGAACATTACTTTATAGAAGTCTGTTTTCTTGCCATAATTAAGATACAAGTTCCACTTTTCTTTATAGTTGTTTACATAGTATAATAAAATAAATATAAAATATTTCATTTTATCAGTACATTTGTGATTACCCTTTAAAAGAATAAATCAATGCAAGTAATAACCTATTAACATTAACTTAAGATGAACATCATTGGAGCTTATAATAGTTTAACCCTTTCACTAATTCCTCTGTGGATTACATCAACCAGATGACCCCAAAGTAACCATCAGTTTTTATACAACTTTTAACGTTCCGTGTGTCTTCATGAAATTTTTCAAGTTTTTAATAAACATTACAAGTCTTTTGTATACATAAAAATCAGAATTTTTAATTAAGTATTTTCACTTAAATTTTGTTCATGAATATAAGGAGTCAGTGTTGACTGATCCAAGTGCAAAGTAATTTTCAATTTCAGATTAAAAATACTTTTCTTCATCTGAAAATTATCACATTTAATCTGCATAATATCTAAAAACCTCCTAAATAAACCTTAAGTTTTTTTTTCATTAAAACTATATGTTATTTTCTCAATACAGGGTTAGCCAGTTTGACTGAACTAGTAACCACCATAAAACAAAATGAAGTGAGTAGTACTGTTCTATCCTTTTTACTATTAACCACAAAGTACTTCTCATGAGAGTTGCAACTTTTCACATCTATTTCCTGTATTTATTTTACTGTCAGCAGCTGAAGTAAGAACATAAAGCAGTGAATCACCGCTCCTCCTGCCATTAAAATGTTTGTGTGATGACACCATCAACAGCATGTGCAGTTTAATAAACTGACGATTTATTGTAATCCCGAGTCCAAGAACACAGTGGGAGAGGAGTTATTGGTTGGTTTACAGTACAACGGTTGCAACGAGAACTGTTTAAAGTAATAAAAGTGGGATAAAATGTTTATGTGATGTCATAATATGACACCATCAACAGCATGTGCAGTTTAAAAACTGTTATGTCCGATTCAATAAACTTGGTAGATATTTGGATGTTCGTTATCCCCCCAGGGTGGACATAATTTAGAAGTATAGATATACGTGTATATATATCATAAACAAACTTGGTAGATATTTGGATGTTTGTTATCCCCCCAGGGTGGACGTAATTTAGAAGAAAAGATATATGTGTATATATATCATGAATAAACTTGGTAGATATTTAGATGTTCGTTATCCCCCCAGGGTGGACATAATTTAGAAGTATAGATATATGTGTATATATATCATAAACAAACTTGGTAGATATTTGGATGTTCGTTATCCCCCCAGGGTGGACATAATTTAGAAGTATAGATATATGTGTATATATATCATAAACAAACTTGGTAGATATTTGGATGTTCGTTATCCCCCCAGGGTGGACATAATTTAGAAGTATAGATATATGTGTATATATATCATAAACAAACTTGGTAGATATTTGGATGTTCGTTATCCCCCCAGGGTGGACATAATTTAGAAGTATAGATATACGTGTAAATTATTGTTATTTTTCTTCAAACACAGAACCATAAATAAAAATATATAGAAAAACAATAATTTCTAGTACTTACAATGTTACTAAATTGATTTGTACTCATTTCTCATACTTGTTAAGCCTCACCAGAAGCCTTGTTTATTCTCTCATGTAGAGAAGAAGCCAAATTAATTTTTGTAGCTTTTCAAAGATTCATTTTACTAACATCAAAAAATTATCAAATTACTATACTGGTTCACAAAAAACCAATGTTATTACTGGTTCACATAAAACAATGTTATTTCTGGTTCACATAAAACCAATGTTATTACTGGTTCACATAAAACCAATGTCATTACTGGTTCACATAAAACCAATGTTATTTCGGGTTCACATAAAACCAATGCTATTACTGGTTCACAAAAAACCAATGTTATTTCTGGTTCACATAAAACCAATGTTATTTCTGATTCACATAAAACCAATGTTATTTCGGGTTCACATAAAACCAATGTCATTACTGGTTCACATAAAACCAATGTTATTTCTGGTTCACAAAAAACAATGTTATTACTGGTTCACATAAAACCAATGTTATTAAAATAACATTGGTTTTATGTGAACCAGGTGAACCAGAAATAACATTGGTTTTATGTGAACCAGAAATAACATTGGTTTTATGTGAACCAGAAATAACATTGGTTTTATGTGAACCAGAAATAACATTGGTTTTATGTGAACCAGAAATAACATTAGTTTTATGTGAACCAGAAATAACATTGGTTTTATATTTGGTTTTCTAACTAGAGCTATATGGAATTTAAAAAACTAATTTCTCTTCAGAGCAATGATTTAGTCAATAGATTTCATTTCTAGTAAACTACGGCTTTCAAGCAAATTACAAATGACTGTCAGATTTATGTCATTTGGAATGCACTCTTTCTATTGGTTAGAAACATGTACTTAAAGAGAAGTAGGCATGAGTAGACGAGAGGTTACCAATGAATGTAGTGGGAGGAGCTACTATGGTAGGTGTAATACAATATAAACTTTCCAATAAAACTAAAGAGCATACTTTATGACACACAAAAAATTGTTTAGCATTCTGTTTTTAATATTTTATTTTGAATTAAATATTAAAAGATATATAATATTAAAATTTGAATTATAAATATGTTGTGGTACCAATTTTATTGACATCCATTCATAATAAAATAGCTCTCTCAAACATCACGACACGCATTCTTTGACCTGTCTGTAGTGAAAGGGTTAATCCCTTTCCTAAAATTTAAAACACTCACTTCAATTGAAGCTCTGAGTTTTAAAATATTCTGACCAAAATTGGATTACAAAAAAAGTTTTCAGATCATTTCTATCAGTAGAAAAATTAATAAAAAAAACAACTAAAAGGCATGACTATAAACTTGACATCTCAAATTCCTTATTATTAAATACTGTGATCAGTTAGTCTATGTTAAAAAACTCTAAACTGATTTGAACAAGAGAAAAAAAAACCTTTTAAGTTTCATCTTGAATATCTAGCTGTAAATTCTAGTGACTTCGATTAATGGCTAACTTTCACATTCTTGTCAGTGGTTAAATGATGTAAAAAACATCTAATTTTTTACTTTGTATACTAATGTTGAGATACCCCAAAACACACATCTGGAAATATAACTGTGTCTAACAGAGATCTCTACACATTTATCTTACCTTTAGGATTTTGGAGAACTGTAGGAGTTGGTACTGTCTGAGTAGTTGGGGGTCCAAAACTTATGTTGATTTTTGGGAACAGAGAACGCAAACCTTCTTGCCAGTCTTTCATGACAAAAGCATTGCCAAACTGTAATTTTTGAACAAAAGATAAAACATATTACTTAACTCTCTCAACACAGGCTCGGTTGAATTGACCAATCACATGACCACCTTGTACTCATTTAAAGTCATTATAGTTTTGATACCACTAACTTTTAATATAGTATGTATATCTTCACAAAATTTGACAGTCTTTCAGTAAACATTATGTCTTTTTACACACAAATAATCATATTTGTTAGTGAAGTATTTTTAATAAACTAAAAAAGACTTCAAGTCCGAGTTCAAAGTGATTTTAATGTTAAGGTTAAAAATACTTTTATTCTCCTCAAAAATATCAAATTTAATTTGCATAATTTATAAAACCTCCTAAATACATTTCAAACCTTTTTTCAGTAAAACTTTATATTTCATTTGTTATTTTCTCTACCCTAACTCTATACAAGGTTGGCCAATTTGAAACTACATTTGTTTATCTAGGTAGCTTTAAACTTGTAACAGTATACATCTATTCATACTTAAATTGTATTGCCCTTTGAGCCATTATAAATTGTAAATCACTTGGGGAACACGGGGCTCACATTACTTTATCAAATTACAATACAGACAAGCTACTCCGAGCTGCTCGTGTGCATGACTCGGGAAAATTTTTTATTATATTACCTAATCTAACCTAAAAAGACTCTTAATTTTACATTTTAGTTACTTTTATTATAATAAACAAAGAATAATCATGAAAATCAAGAAATAAAGTATTTACCTGGATCTTCATTTTTGTTTTTCCTGTTGACTGTCGATGACACTTAACCTTCTTTTTTATACCAATGTCTAGTAGTGCACTAAATAAGCCCCCAGTAGCACGACGGTATGTCTGCAAACTTACAATGCTAGAATCCGGGTTTCGATACCCGTGGTGGGCAGAGCACAGATAGCCCATCGTGTAGCTTTGCACTTAACTTCAACAACAACAGCACTAAATACTTTTTATTTAATTAAATAATGAACATAGAATAATAACATGTGAAAAGTAGACAATTTCCTCTAACAATCACGATTTGTCTGGCTATCTAAGTATGAGACAAGAGCCGTTACAAATGTATCCAAGTTAGTCACTGTCTTTCCTGTGGGTATGAAGCTTGCACTAGAAAAGGAATTGACAATTCTCTGTTCAGAAAACATAATATAATACATCATTGGATAGATGAAAACCTTGGCTTTCTATTGGTTATAGATAATATAGAATTAAACATAAGAGAACTATTAACAAATCCTGAGAGAGGATGTGACAGGTAGGTGTGGCAAAAGGGGTCTGATTTTCTATGCGATGGCTCCGTAACCAAACCAGATTGAAGACTGAGGAAATTATGCTTTCTCCAAGCGATGACAATATTACAGTGAGTAATTTATGTTAAATATCATACTTATTGGAGTGGTGAATAAATTAGAGAAGAGAGGATGCCTAGAGAAAAAAAATGTCACATTTCTTACACTAGGGGAAATTCGGGATTTTTTTAAAATATTGCCTTATAAAATTAAGAGCTTAAAACTTATACACTATTAAGATATGGATTATTAGCTATGATTTTATGCTATACTAATTGGTATTACATAAATAAGAAGTAGTTTAATTAAGTTTTGAATGTAACTAACTAAAAACTTCATGACATGCACAGTAAAGTATTTCTGTGGCTATAGGGTTAAACAATGTTATATTAAATTAATCTGTTAGTTTCAGATATTTATCCAAAGCTAAAAAGGGGTACCTGTAATTTTGAACTGATAGACTAGGGCAGGGTAGCTGATAAACAGCAACTCTTGGGCTATCTTATACTTGCGGAATAGTGGGATTGGATTGTTACTCTTATGATAAACACACTTTCCTAAAGGCAGCAGTAACAGGACATAAATCATAGACCCTCAAATCTACAGCCCGGTAATACTAACCACTAGGCTGTACTTGCCTACAAAAAAAGGTCTGAAGCATGTTGTCAAAACAATTTTGGCCAGAAAATAATATAATAAAACCAATACTAGTATGTACAATACAGGTACTAATCAATGGGATTATATACAGTGTATAATCTGTACAATACAGGTACTAATCAATGGGATTATATACAGTGTTAGTCTGTACAATACAGGTACTAATCAATGGGATTATATACAGTGTTAGTCTGTACAATACAGGTACTAATCAATGGGATTATATACAGTGTATAATCTGTACAATATAGGTACTGATCAATGGGATTATATACAGTGTATAATCTGTACAATATAGGTACTAATCAATGGGATTATATACAGTGTATAATCTGTACAATATAGGTACTAATCAATGGGATTATATACAGTGTTAGTCCTGTACAATACAGGTACTAATCAATGGGATTATATACAGTG